CTCATCCCAACCCCACCCCCCCTCCACCCCCGTTGAAATCCGCGGCGGGCGCAGATCGGGGCGCAGATCGGGGGCCGGCTCCCGGCGATGGGCGGCGACGGGCGGCACCTGGGGAGGACCATGAGCTTCGGGATCCCGGACGTGGCGCTGGGGCTGGTCATGGGGTGCGTGGAGGACCCCTGGGACCGCGACGCCATCTCGCTCGTCTGCCGCCACTGGTGCAAGGTCGACGCGCTCAGCCGCAAGCACGTCACCGTCGCCATGGCCTACTCCACCACCCCCGACCGCCTCTTCCGCCGCTTCCCCTGCCTCGAGTCGCTCAAGCTCAAGGCCAAGCCCCGCGCCTCCATGTTCAACCTCATCCCCGAGGACTGGGGAGGCTCCGCCTCGCCCTGGATCCGCGAGCTCTCCGCCTCCTTCCACTTCCTCAAGGTGCTGCACCTCCGCCGGATGATTGTCTCCGACGACGACGTTGCCGTGCTCGTGCGCGCCAAGGCCCACATGCTCGTCTCCCTCAAGCTTGACCGCTGCTCCGGCTTCTCCACCTCCTCCCTCGCTCTCCTCGCCCGCTGCTGCAAGTAATTTCTCCCCTCCTTGTTCCGGTTCACAAATGATGTGCATGCATTAGTTCGTTTTAATTACTGCGGTATCTCTTTCTTGTCCTACGAATTAATCTGTAGTTTCAATTGTTCTAGTTAGTTTTTCTCTTCAGAATTGTGTTTTGTTCTATTCGGAAAGCGTTGGTAGATGGGATGTTTGTAAAGCGAGTATATATAAGATGGTTCTTTTGTTCATTTGGAAAGGGGAAAAGTAAGTGTAACGTCTCACCTTTTCATGATGTAAAACATCATGCTACTCTTTGCAATTTGGGAATAATTCTAGCTTTGGAGCAGAAATTAGGAAATGTGGACTTTAACTGCCTTACTGAGTTGGGGACTTTGCTTAGTTGTTTATACTTTCTTAGAGAACTATGATACTTGGTGGAGATAGTTTTGAAAAGCAGATTATCAAAATGGTGCTGTAGAAGTTTAGTAAGAATGTAAGAGCATGCATTCATAGGTTACTAGTTTAATTAATCATATTTCTTGTCATGTGCAGGAAACTGGAAACGTTGTTTCTTGAAGAAAGTTCTGTTGCTGAGAAAGAAAATGATGAATGGCTCCGTGAGCTTGCTACCAGCAATACTGTCCTTGAGACGCTGAATTTCTTTCTGACGGATCTCAGGGCATCCCCTGCACATCTTCTCCTCCTTGTGCGAAATTGCCGAAGGCTGAAAACTCTCAAGATTAGCGACTGTTTCATGTCTGACCTGGTCGACCTGTTCCGTACAGCAGAAACACTACAAGACTTTGCTGGTGGTTCCTTTGATGATCAAGATCAAGGTGGGAATTATGCTAACTACTATTTCCCTCCTTCAGTACAGCACTTGAGTTTGCTCTACATGGGAACAAATGAGATGCAGATATTATTTCCATATGGTGCCACACTCAAGAAGTTGGACCTTCAGTTCACATTCCTTACCACAGAGGATCACTGTCAATTAGTCCAGCGCTGCCCAAATCTAGAAGTTTTGGAGGTATGTCCTGGCAAATTATTTTAAATGTTTTTCCCATCTTTCCTGTCTGGAAGTCTGATAGTGAATAAGCTATCTCAAACGTGTTTTGTTGATAATTTGTCTTCCAACAGGTGAGGGATGTGATAGGAGATCGAGGGTTAGAAGTTATTGCGCGGACCTGCAAGAAATTACAGCGACTCAGAGTCGAGAGAGGAGATGATGACCAAGGAGGTCTTGAGGACGAACAGGGTAGAGTGACACAAGTAGGATTGATGGCTGTAGCTGAAGGCTGTCCTGATTTGGAGTACTGGGCAGTACATGTGTCTGACATTACAAATGCAGCTCTTGAGGCTATTGGCGCATTCAGCAAAAACCTGAACGATTTCCGACTTGTCCTGCTTGATAGAGAGGTGCATATAACTGAACTGCCCCTTGACAACGGGGTTCGGGCTTTGCTGAGAGGTTGCACCAAACTCCGGAGGTTTGCATTTTATGTGAGACCTGGAGCTCTATCAGATATTGGCCTTTCTTATGTTGGCGAATTTAGCAAGACCGTCCGCTACATGTTGCTTGGGAATGCCGGGGGGTCTGATGATGGACTGCTGGCATTTGCACGAGGATGCCCAAGCTTGCAGAAATTGGAGCTAAGGAGTTGCTGCTTTAGTGAACGTGCATTGGCAGTTGCAGCCTTACAGCTGAAGTCACTCAGATATCTTTGGGTGCAGGGATACAAGGCATCTCCTACTGGCACCGATCTCATGGCAATGGTACGCCCCTTCTGGAACATTGAGTTTATTGCACCAAATCAAGATGAGCCTTGCCCAGAGGGTCAGGCACAGATTCTGGCATACTACTCTCTGGCTGGGGCAAGGACAGATTGTCCTCAGTCAGTAATTCCCCTCCATCCGTCAGTGGGAAGCTAAAAAGACCACCACCAGTTTGACTGTACATACATGTTTGATGCCAGCAAAACCCACAATGCGGTATAGGGACATTCCACCTTACAGTGCCAATTACGGGACTGAAAGCTCAAGTAAAAGCGACCCACTCTGAACTGCCTTGGTATCTTAGGGGCAACATTTTTGGGTAAGCTGTTCATCTGGCCAACATGGATATCTTTGTGTACTACACCATTTTGACATGGCTCGGACACGCATTTTTGTAATAATGTGCCCAGTTGTAATGGCATTTTTCTGTTCTTGAGCTTTGCCCACTGTATTGTTGTTCTACAAACAGTATTGGATTAGTTGTTGTACCATCTGTGAAACAATCTGCACAATGTTATGTTTAACCCATGAATATCTTGAAATTTTGCTGCGGCTTGGCCTCAGTTTTACTGGTTGTGATTTTCTACCTTCTCTTATCTTTGGATTTGTATGGTGAACGGGCTGTTATAGGCTCTATGGATTGCAGGAAGCAGTGATTTATTATGTTGAAATAGAAGAACAGAATATTGAGATGTCACTTACTGTGAAATTTTACATGATTTCCGAATACTACATGAGATTCTGCATAACACACGAATTTTACAACTTTTGCTAGGAAGGAATTTAAGAGAGGGTTGAGGGGAGAAGGTAGAGAAAGATATTTCAGAACTCAGAAATTCTGCAATATATGCTTTTGCACAGGAAGCAGCTTCAGAGGATTGAGAGGGTGGAGAAAAATAGAGTGAAAGTGTATTCGACAAATGATGTTCGAGCTCATACTGAGATCTTATAGTATGGAAGCTATATGAATGAATTTCATAGAAATTTGGTAACCTACTCCTATTAGGCAATGGACTTTGAAGAAGAATTCTTAAAATTCAAATACTACAACACAAATCCTACGATCTAAAGAGACTCTTAGGGCATTTGAAATAAAGGAAAATTGCAGTATCGAATTCCTATAGAAAAATCCTGACTGGGTCATCTGAAACAAAGAAACGACTCACCAATATTCCTATGAAATTCTTATAGAACAAAGCAATCCATAGGAAAATTTCTGCGTTTTTCCTTTGTAGTATGCTACAAATCCTCTATTCTTAAATAGATGCAACCCACTACCTATTTTTCCTCTTCATGCAACTATGCTGCATCATAAGTCTTGTGTTTAGATCCCGTAGGAATTCAGGTTAAATATCTCATTTCATACAGTTTTACCATTTCTACTTTTTTTAGTTCCTACGAGTGCTAAGTTACCCAACGCTGAAGAAAACACAGTGCGGCTGCAAGATAACCAGAACACCAGAGCAGATCAGCAGAACATACTCCCTCCGTCACGTAATACAAGAGCATATAGCATGGGTACTCCCTCTGTCACATAATATAACATCATATAGCATGGGACAGAGGGAGTACAAAACTATCCGTTAGCCAAATCCATGATGTAAACTGCCAACCAGACTGAAAACAGACACAGAAGTATCCAGTACAGCATATAGCATACATATGGCATGCAAGTCCAGAACCATGACGAAATACAGCTGCTTCACTAGGTGCACGATCATACCATCCACACCGTCTACAAACATGCAAAGTAACTAAAATTCCAACATCACAACGGAAATACGGTGGCCTGGCGCTTCGTAAAACATCAGGTGCTTGCTGAGGTTGAGCGCTCCCTGGAGACGGACCTCGAGCATGAACTGCGGCTGTGAGCATAGCTTTCTCTGGAACGCCTCTTCCCAGGTGACCTGCTGCGCGATGCCTTGCTTCCGGCGCGTCCTTTCCGCGGAGAACAGCTCCTTGATTCTTCTGACGCCGGGGAGCAGCTGCGGGAGTAGCTCCTGCGTGGCGATATGCTGCGAGAGTAGCTCCGTCTTCTGCTCCTTGGAGAATAGCGCCTGCTGTAGTATGCTGAAACAGAACGGTCGTGGGAGCGCGACCTCCGCCTACTGTAACGGTATGGAGATCTTGAACGGTGGCGGTGACCATGGTGGGGTGAGTAAGATATGCGCCTGTCGTACGGTGAGTAGGACCTTCGCCTGTCGTAGGGAGACTCCGACCTGTCGGAAGGAGTGTATGATCTCCTTCGGGAGTATGATCTACGCCTGTCACGACGAGAGTATGATCGTCCTCTGCGATAAGGAGAATAAGAGCGTTCTCGCTCAGGCGAGTAGCGTGAGCTGTAACGGTCTCTCCTAACAGGTGACCTGCTTCGGGAATACCTCCTTCCTGGTATCACCATATAATCAAATGTCAACAATCAGATGTTATATGAGGTGTCAGCGGTGCACACTTTCCAGCACACAATTCATGGTACTAAGGTATCGAAGATAAATCATGACACAATAACTTACCACGCGATGATTTGGCGCCCAGATACCTTCCCGGTGTTGGGGTTCGACCTCGTCTTCGCTTTGCCTGTGGTGGAGAAGGGGCTCAAAATCAGTACTTGTGTTTTATGTCAAAAGCAAGACCGAATAAATTATTGGGGATCTGAAGAACATAAATGGTAAGGAAAAACAATAATGGTGGGCGTACGACCCTTTGGTTGAGGTAGCATTGTTTCGATCTTAGGTTGTGTATCTTTTGAATTGATGCCAAACAGCTGTGGGCATCAACCTGCTGCTGTCAACAAAATCTTCAAACAAGAAGAACATTCAAATATTTAGCTTGGAAGGCTAATCTGTACATAATAATTCCACTCCATATAGAAGGAGAAGGAGAATGGACAAATATCAGAGAGTTAACATTCTTTTGGCAATACCTTCTCAACAGTAATGACACGACCTTCCAGCACTGAACGGTCGAGATATTTGATGCAGCGTTCTGCCTCCTTAAGAGTAGCCATGGTGACAAACCCAAATCCACGTGATTCCCTTGTCCATGGATCAAGTACTATACTTGCATCAATCACCTGTGGCACAGCCAGCAAGATAAATAAGTGGAATTGTTAGCAATCTTCTCATATGCGTACACTATTTTCCTCAGCAAACATTTCCATAAAGATTACCTCTCCCTCTGTAGAGAAATGCTTCTCCAGATCTTGATCAGTTAGACGAGATGATAAACCAGTCACGAAGAGATTGTTCCCAGGGTTCTCAACATCACTCGAGTCCACACTCCTAACACATTACATGGATATCACTATCAATTACTCCCTAAAATTAGAGCCAGAAATGCCTAGACTCCAAAACATAGAACATGGACACAAACATAATATTAGCATTTCTGACGATAAATGTTATTTACCTTGAACGACTCCTGTACCTCGAATACGACATCTGCAAAACAGACAGGCAAACGAATCAATACCCACCAGAGGACTCGTATAGAAAACTCTCAGATAAGTAGCACGTAACTACATTTCTAAATGTATCATGGCTTCGCAACATACTACCGCATAGCGCCAATAGATCATACAAATATCTAACCTGACCATAGAAGCTCCGATCACTGCGACAGCTTGATTTCAAGCATGCAACAATCCACCATCAGTTTACACTTTACAGCGTCGAAGACATGTGGTCATAAATTGTTGCGTGTGCAAAAGCTTGGGGACCTAATTACATAGCTACAACCTTGTTTCGTGTTCAGTTCAGCCAGTTCAGTGTTAGAGACTGTCTGTTCCCGGAACAGTTTCCTTCCCAGCAATTCAACGTTCGCATACACGTTACGCGGGTTCAGTAAATCTGTTTCCCCCATCGCGTTAGATACAATCTCGCAGTCCAGATGAAACCACTACGCACAGAACACGAATTGGGGAAACATGACCGCTACAACCTAGGAATTCTCGGTTTAATTTGTTTCATGTCATATAGATCTAGCGCGTTTGCGAATCAGAGTTGAGGATCAATCAGCCCCCGAACCCTGACGCACGTTTTTCTACTGGCAAGTGTGGGTCTCATGGGTCTCTACTATGTGCAAAACTATCACCGAATCAAACAGAGCAGAGGGCAGGATGAATCCGCAGCGCCATTTTCACATCCGAAGTATAGTACTGTATCATGCTACCGACGGAACAGGAGAAGAACCCGAGAGAATACCTTTGCTTCGTCGCCGCTGCGACTGCGACCCTGGCCTCCGAAGCCTCTCGAGTCGCTGTCTTTCGCTTCGCCTCTGCGTCTGTCTATCAGTTGCGACCTGCGACACCGCCTCTGATTTCCCGCTGGATCGCGCACGCGCGTGTGAATAAATAGATAGGACCTGCGGGAAGGTTCTGGAGGGAGCCGGACGCGAGACTTTCTCAAATCCGGTTGAATCAGCCGAGCGAACGCACCGCACGGCACTACCTTCCGCTTCAACACTTGGCATCTCTCTGAGCCATCAGTTTCCCCCTTTTCCCACCTTTTTTCTGCCGGCTTTTTTAAAATGGTCGTAAATTTAGGAAGCGTGTGGCAAAACTTTCAAAGGGCTGCGTTGCGATTTTAATCTTGGCACTCATGTGGCAAAAAAAATAAATCATCCACCAGTCACAGCGCGCCTGCTTAAAGTTATAAGCTGGTTGCTTCCAAAAAGAAATTTCTATTTTTTCCGATTATTAATGGCAGAGGCCTGATGGGTCGAATCGACCCAAATAGCAGAGGCATTAAATAACGCACCTGAGCGAATAAAGACAAAATCACTAGTTAAAGAATACTCATTACAAAGGTTACCCCACTATCAAAGGCGCTTACAAGTGACACATGTGAGTCACTTGTTGCAACCCATATGTTTTTTTTGCCATAGATTCATTTATTCAAAACATTTTATTTTTTGAACCGTGCGTTTAAATCCTGAACCGTCTTCATCGTTGGATTTCTTGCGTTGAGATCTGCAAAACTACATCTCATGTTAATAGGTTTCGACAGACTTTTCTTCACAAAAACAAAAAAGGCAAAAGGAAGAAAAAACAAAACATGAATACAAAAGAAATGAAAACCCAAAAAACCCGATTCGCGTAAAAAATGGAATACAAAAAACCCGAAAGAAAGAACTCGAAGTCCGGAAGCACGGTTGCGGTTTTCGAACCTTTTTAGAGTACAAACCGTGATTTTCCTTTTTATCGAAGAAGCACAAGTGTACTTCTTGCGAAAGCAAAACTCTGCTTTCATGAGAAGTAAATTTGTGATTCTCATGGAGGCACATCACAACTTTTTTTCAGCTCTGCTTCTTGTGGAAGCACATATCTTCCTTTTTCAAGAAGTATAGTTGTGCTTCTCATGGAAGCATATTTTTTCCGAGAAGCACAACGAGCTTCTCTTGGAAGCAAATGTGTGCTTCTCGTGGAAGCATATTTTTTTCCTGAGAAGCACAACTTTGAAAATGGGTCTCTCCCCCCTTCCCCCTTCCCCTTCCCCTCCCTCGGGCGACGAGAACAGAGTGAGACAAAATCCCCAATCTGCTCACCCCCTCCACCTACCCCGCATTAGTTCGAGCTCTCCCCACCCCAGCCTCCACCTACCAACTCTCATGGCGGGGGCGCACCGTCATGGGTTGCGGATCCGTCGACTTGCACCGATGACTCGAGTTGTGGAGCCACGGGCGCTCCCACTTCCAGGAGAGGCTCCACCACTTCAGATCGACCCCAACTCGCCGGAGGCTCGACGGGAAATGCGTCGGGTGGTGTTGGAGCGCTTCCCCAATCGGGAGGAGTGGGGAGACATCCACCTCGACATCCTTCGCTACACGAACTTCGCCGAGCACGCGCGCTTTCATCGGCAATGACAGCCGCGTGGATGTGGAGCTCCTCTTCTGGGCGATTCAGGAGGCCGAATCACAGGATCCAATACAGTCGGCGAAGTGGGCATACTTCAAGACGGCGAATCCGTCGCGGCTCAACATCAGGCCGCCATCGGTGGAGGGGATTGCCAGCATTCCGCCGGAATTCCTTCCGCCGGGGGTGCAGCTGCCCCGCCACCGCCAGTGAAGGAACTGATGCCCCTGTCCATCCTACATCAGCGTCACACCATCGACCCCCCTCCCTGGCCGGGTGAGGAAGGTATGCATTCGATCCGCCTGTCCTCCTCATTTCGCTCTCGTTTGTTGGATTTGCGTTCGCGGAGTATTCATTCGAAAATTGGGAAGAAGAGTTTGGCTATTCGTTTGGTTGATTCGGATAAATCTAGGGTTTCCCCCAATGCGTTGATTGATTCTACTGAATCTGTTGCCGTTTCTGCGGCATCTAAGCATGTGATTAATTCGAATTTTGGCAATAGCCCGTTGAACAACGAGATGATGATAAGCCAAAAGCCGTCCTCTCTGCCCAACCAGGTCGTGACGGGTCCCAGTTTTAGTATACGTGACCCTGGTAGGAAAACACATTCTCAGTTTACGCGTTCACGTGGAAAGGGTGACCTAGAAACTATAGAAGAGCACTTTGGCCAGCTCTGGCTCATTCATTCCCCTCCTCTCCACCGCCTACCTCCACCACCACCACCCCCTCGAACTGCCCCTCCTTCCTCTGGGTTCACTTGCTGGATCCAGAAGGACCTGATCGCTTCTCGCTCATTCACGGCCGCTGATTGCCACCCTGCCCCCTGCTGCATCTTTGATCCAATCCCAAGAACCATCAAGGTTTCAAGGGAGTGTTTGGGCCCCGGATCCCTCTCTTTTGCAGCCGCTGTGAAGCGAGGATTGGTGATGTCTAATCATCGGAATGCTGGTGCGGGATCTGGCGCAGGTGGTCCTTCGAAGGCTGCCACATAGAGAGCCAGCTCGCAGGGAGGGAGGAGGCAGCCATCTGCCCCGACCTCTAAGGATCTGGCACCTGCACCAAAGCCTACCAAATCCAAAACCTCTACTGTTGCCTCTTCCTAGGTACAATCTTCTTAGTCTGTGGAGGTGGAGATGGAGCAAGTTTTAGATCCTAGGTACAACGACATGATTTGCTTCAACTGTGGAGGTCCAGGGCATTATGTTGGAAATTATATCAAGCCGAAAACATGTTTTATCTGTCAGTAGAATCACAATGTGAACAACTGTGCTGCCTGGACTAGGGTTCATCCAACTGTTGCCTTCTTGGCAGTGGAGCAAATGGACTTGGTTTCTACCATGTAGATGTTCATGTGTGAAAGTGCGTTATATCGACTAGAGGGGGGTGAATAGGCGATTTTTATGAAAGTCTTCAGAACATAGAAGTTTTGAAGACAAATGATAAAATTAAACCTATTACCATGCAGCGGAAGGTAGACTACACTAGGCAAACCATAGTCAAGTATTCAATGAAGTGAAAGCACAAAGACTAATAGCAGCTAAGTAGTAAGGATCAGGTAGGAAGATATTGTGAAGCCAAACAGAACACGCAGTCACTCAGTGAAGACAACTGATAGTGCAAACATACAATGACTTCACAAGGAGTAACAGTAAGTAAAGGGAAGTGAAGATGAAACCAGTGACTCGTTGAAGACAATGATTTGTTGAACCAGTTCCAGTTGCTGTGACAACTGTACGTCTGGTTGGAGCGGCTAGGTATTTAAACCTTAGGACACACAGTCCCGAACACCCAGTCCTGAACACGCAGCTCAGGACACCCAGTCCTCACCGTATTCTCCTTGAGCTAAGGTCACATAGACCTCGCCCAATCACTCTGGTAAGTCTTCAAGGTAGACTCCCAAACCTTCACAAACTTCGTTCACCGGCAATCCACAATGTCTCTTGGATGCTCAGAACGCGACGCCTAACCGGCTAGAGGATGCACAGTCCTCAAGTGTAATAAGTCTTCAGATCACACAGACAAGAAGACTTAAGTGATGCCCAATTCTCTCTGGCTCTGGTGGTTAGGGCTTTATCCTCGCAAGGAATTCTCTCTCAAAGGCTTCGAGGTGGGTTGCTCTCAAACGACAAAAGCCATACTTTCAATCTGAGCAGCCAACCGTTTATGGTTGTAGGGGGTGGGCTATTTATAGCCACTTGGCAACCCGACCTGATTTGTCCAAAATGACCCTGGGTCACTAAGGAACTGACACGTGTTCCAACGGTCAGATTTCAAACTCACACGACAACTTTACTTGGGCTACAAGCAAAGCTGACTTGTCCGACTCTGGACAAGATTCGCTCTCATAGTCTTCACTCGAAGACATAGGTTTTTGGTTTAGGCATCACTTCAGTCATTCTGACTGGTTCTCTTGGACCCCACTTAACAGTACGGTGGTTTCTATGACTCAACACAAAAGAAAAAGAACTATGAAAGATCTAAGTCTTCGAGCTCCATAGGCTTCATATAGTGTCTTCTCTTGTCATAGTCTTCAATGTGAATATCTTCATATACCACCTTTGACTTCAATGTCTTCATACATTTTTAGGG